TAGGGCACGAGGGATGAGGCTGGCAGTGGCAGAGGGATGGTGGAGAGTAAAGAGGGACAAAGACATTGAAGTGGCATGTAGGAGACAGGCAAGGAGGGGCTGGAGGGAAGGGCGTTCCTGGCAGAGGGAACAGAATGTGCGAAGATCTCAGAGTGGGAAAGAGTCTGGTGTGCTTGGAGTTCCTAGGAGAACTAAGGTGCCCGCATCTGCCTGTGTGTCCACAGGGCCTGGGGCAGTGGGCATGAGTGGCGAGGACCAGTGCTGGCCACCTCTGACACCAGCTGTCATGTTATTACCCTGTTTACAGCCCACACATAAGTGGTTTGGCCAAGACTGCAGTCAGGGGTCTGACGGGGGCCTCCGGCTGGATCTGCCTGCATCTCAGGCCTGCAGGATCTCACACTTTGGGCAGCCTCCAATCCCCAAAACACCTGGAGAGTCCTGGGCTCCGAGAGCTCTGTCCGTCCCTTCAGCACACTGCATGGCCGGCTGCATGAGCTCACCTTGCTCTGGGCCACACTGTGAACTCAGTGACCAGGTGTGGGTGGCTCCTTGTGCAAGCTTACTCCAGGGCCACAGAACACTCATGGGTCCTACCGGGCCACTGCCACCTGCTGAGGGACTGGTAAGGACCCTCCTCTTCGGGGGCCTCATCTGCACAGTGGGGAAGGCCACATGGAATCATCTGGGAGGAAGCACCTGGCAGGGGCCTGAGCAGTCGGGGCCCCATACCTGGGGAGGGAATTGCCAGGATTCAGGAAACCCCAGTCATGGGGCCTCCAGTGCCCTTACCCTCACTGCAGATCCAGGCTCAGATCCTGGTAAATGAGACGCTCTGGCTGGCTCTGTGCGGAGATGGCAAAATGGTCTTGGGCTGGCTGCGACAGGAAGGAGCAGAGAGCGAGGACCCCGAGGGTTCATAGTAGAGCCAGCAGTGAGGGGCCACATGCCCAGAAGAGTTAGGCTGAGGACCCTGTGACCCCTCCTTGCCTATGTGATGGGGCACAAGGACAAGAACTGGACGCCAGGCTGGCTGCCTTCAAGGCCAGCTGTGCTCCACAGTGCAGGTGGCTTTGGACTTGTGCCCTGGCCTCCCGAAGCCTCACTGTCCACTTAGAGAGTGGCAATGCTAGCGCCCTACCAGGGCTGCTCAGGGAAGGGGGAGATGAGCTCTGCAGAGGCCCCGAGCTCAGAGGAGCCGGTACACCCATCAACAGCATTCCCATCACCTGGGTGATGAGACCCCACAGGACCCCAGGGGATGGCAGTGGGAGGGGCAATTGCTGCCCAGTCCCGCCGAGGCCTGGGGGACCCAGAGTGCAGGTGTAGGAGCCTCCAGCGCAGAGTGGATTGGACTAGTGTGAACGGTGGCAAGGCTGGTCTCTGTGGGGACAGTTGACAGTGGGAGAAAAGAATCCGTGAATTCACATTGGTGGCTTCTGTTGTACATTTTTGAGAGAAAGAGAAAATGCCCCACTCATCCATATTTTAAATGAAGAACAGGAAACAGCCAATACATTTCAATTGCTAAAGAGGATACTTGAGTTTTATTTCACAGCCACTCAAGGCTGAGAGGAGGGAGAAGGGAGGAAGAAAGAGTCTGGAGAGAAAGAGAGAGAGGTGGACATGTGGAGAGAGACGGGGACTGAAACCCTCAGAGGAGGAATTCAAAGGAGACTCTGGGTGGACCTAGGAGACCCTGGGAGGACCAGAAAAGACCCTGGTGAGACCTCTAGAAGACCCCCAAGCATACCCTAGGGAGATGCTGGAACACTCCAAGGTAGCCCTGGGAGGCCCCAAGGAGAACTAGGTCTGGCCCTGGCAGGCTGGTGCCTTCTAGAAGTCATTCTGCCTCCCTGGCATTGCCTGTGGATCACACCTAGGGTGGGGCACGGGGCATGGTTGTTGGAACAGAGGCAGGAAGGTAGGCCTGAAACTGCTGCGTCTCCTCCAGCTGTGCGCCCAGGATTTGGTGGGAGGTCCAACTGTTCCCAGGGCTCAACCTGGGGCTGTCAAATGGTGGTCCTCTCAGCCCTAGAGCTTCAGGAGGGGATCCCCCATGTGGGGAAGTCAGCAGGAGGTCAGACTCGCCCTCTCTCCATTCCCTCCTCAGCCTTCTCCAAACAGAGCAGCCCCTTAGAAAAGATTTTATTTGAAAACCACCAAAAGAAAACTAAAAACCCACAAGGCTACAATCCCTCCTCCAGGTTGCCACTGACACCCTCCAAAGTCAAGGGCTTCCTGAGTCACTCCAAGCACAGCAGGGTGCACAGGCCTCCCCGGGAGCTGCAGTCTCCTCCTCTATGAAGCGGGCATCAGTGCCCCAGATTGGGTGAGTTTCTCTAAGAGCAGAGCCTGGGAAAACAATAGCCTGCCCTTCCCAAGAGCCCCACAGTTCCAAGTGCTTCAAGCCAGTGAACTCATTCCATCCTCACCGAGACGCAGTGAGACAGGTGCTGCCATCGCCCCCATTGACTGGTTGGGAAATCGAGGCACCGAGAGGTAAAGTGACCGCCAAGATCTCATGGCTGATGTGGCAGAGCAGGGATTTGCGCCCAGGCTGTCTGGCTCCATAGTCCCTCGACAGACCACCTGTGCACACAGTAGGTGTTCAGCAGTGGCCCCTTCTGAAGCAAGACGAGGACTGATTCATAAAAAGGAACCAACTCTCAGCGTAGGATGGGGGTGGGCAGGGGACAACAGGGAATGAATGTTTTATCCTAAACTGACTTTCATATTATTCCTCTTATATGTTCAGTCATTCATTTTCTTGGCCGCGCATGGTGGCTCATGCCTGTGAAACCCCATCTCTACTAAAAATACAAAAATCAGCCAGGTGTGGCGGTGTTCACTTGTAATCCCAGCTACTCGGGAGGCTGAGGCAGGAGAATCACTTGAACCCTGGAGGCGGAGGTTTCAGTGAGCTGAGATTGCACCGCTGCACTCCAGCCTGGGCGACAGAGTAAGACCCCATCAAAAAAATAAAAATAAAAAATAAAATTGGGCCGGGCACGGTGGCTCACACCTGTAAACCCAGCACTTTGGGAGGCCGAATGGGCAGATCACTCGGTTGGGAGTTCGTGATCTGCCTGACCAACATGGAGAAATCCAGTCTCTACTAAAAGTATGAAATCAGCTGGGTGTGGTGGCACACGCCTGTAATCCCAGCTACTTGGGAGGCTGAGGCAGGAGAATCACTTGAACCCGGGAGGCAGAAGTTGCACTGAGCCAAGATCAAGCCACTGCACTCCAGCCTCGGCAACAAGAGCAAAACTCTATCTCAAAAAAAAAAATTCATTTTCTTAAAATGTGGACTCAATCCTTTCCTTTTTGAGCTGCAGGCAATGTTGAAGGGGTCTAGGTCTCTGTTAAATGACCATGGGGACAGGGGGGGTCCCAGGTCCTCAGGCAAGCTGCAGCCAGGCTCCCACACATCCTTGGCACACGCGAGGGTCTTTAGTGCATCAGCCCTCATGGCTGGGGGTGCTGGGGGCTGTTCACACATGCTGCAGAGAGAGCAGGTGGGCCCAGGCTTGATGGGCCTCCTGCAAGTGACATCTGAGGTCACTGGGTCCCTGTTTACTACCAGAGTCGCTGCCCCAGGCCTGGGGTGACCAACCTCTCCTCTCCTCGATCCTTCCCCTCCCTGTGCCCGGACCCCTCATTGCTCTCCTCCCGCCCAGCCTCCTCCGTGTGCACAGGGTGCGAACCTCCTCCTGCATTTTCACGTATGCATCTCCCTTCATTCTCCCAGCCCTCCTGGAGGATCGGCCCAAGCAGGGATCACCTGCCCATTTCACAGATGGATACACGGAGGCTCATGGAGGCTAAGGGATGTGTCCAAGTGCATATAGCAACAAGACACAGGAGCCTATCTGGGAATGCAGGTCTCTCTGTCTCCTGGTCTGCACTGCTTGGAAGTGGTGTGTACGGGCAGGGATCAGAATATCCTGAACAAATGCTTCCTGCACGGGATTCATTTCCTTAAATATCCTCTCTCCATCCAGGGTCTTGAATTCTTGGGAGACAAGGACATATTTAATGTGGGAGAACCACCTCTTTCGCTGCAGTGATTTGAACTGGCTGGTATTGAAATACCTTCCTAGCCTACGGGCACTGGGGCTGTGTATTATTTATTTTGCGAATTATCGTGAACTAGAGTATTTGTGAGCTACCTTTAAGCCACCCTGCCTCCCCTTCGAGCTGCCTGCTGCGTGGCTCTCCAGAGCCTCTGTGTCCTGGGGCTCCACAGCCATGAATTATTAAAGAACAGGACAATTCTAATTCACATAATGAGATCAGAGGTTCCTGGTTCCTAGTTAATTTAGAGCTGGTGCCAGAGGAGCTTAAAGGAGTTCTCAGGGAACAACTCAAGTGCAGGGGAATTGCCTCTGATGGGGTCCTAGGGCTGTGGACCCTCTGCAACGTCCAGGCCCAGGGAGGGAGGGCAGCTTGCTCAGCAAGTGGCAGCAGGGCTAGCCAGGCTAAACAACGAACGGCACAAACTTTCTCGTCTCCAGGTCTTTGCCCAGGCAGTGCGCCCTTCCGGGATGCCCTCTGCCCATTCCTCTGCCTGCTAAAATCCCATCCAGCCTGTGGTGCCCCTTTACTGGACCATCTCCCCGCAAAGACTCTCCTGCTCCCTCATTCACACACAAGTGCTCCTGGCCTCATCTCCGTTCCTCTTCCTGAGCCGCCTAAGCTGGGAGGAATGCCGTTACCTAAGTACTGACGTCCCCTCTTGACTCTGAACTTGAGCTTGTCTCACTGAGCTCTGCACCCTCAGGGCCTGGCCTGGCTCTGTACTTAACAAAACTCCACTCTCCTGTCCTCAGGAGGGACAGCTTGGACAGGGACAGATGTGAATAAACCGGAGAGAGGGTGGAGGGCACGCGTGGGTGGGGAAGATGCGGTCACCCATCCCCAATCCCCACTCCCTCCCTGCACTGTGTGACCTCACAGTGCCCTCCAGCAGAGTTTGGTGGGGGTCTACACTCTCATCCTGCCGACTCGGAGCCTGGCCTTGTGGTCTGCTTTGGCAGATGGAACAGCAGCTGAGACACATGAGCAGACCATCCTCGAGCTTATGCGGCGTGGTTTGACCCCTTGCTCTTTGGTCACCATCAAGAGAAGAACAGACCCCAGCGTGAGTCGTGTGGAGCCGTCCGAAACTGACTCACAGCCTGGAGCCAAGTGCAGCGGAGCTCCGTGGGAGCCCAGCCATCCCCAACCAAGACAGCCAACCGCAGCCAGACCACAGGCCCGGGAGTGAGAGCAACACACGTGTGTTGCTGTGAGCCGCTGAGCCTGGGGGGCTGTTTGTTACAGAGCACTGTTACAGCAATGGCAGACCTGTGCAGTGGAGATGTGTGTGGTGCAGGAGCAGGGAGTACCCCCAACTGGATGGGCAGAAGTAATCTGAATGAAATGGCTGGGTGGTAAAATTCACCAGCACATCCACAAAACAGAGCTTACCCTCTGCACCCACAGCCGGGGTAAGTGAGCTGGCAGTGCACGGTACCGAACCCAGAGGCAGGGCGCTGGGGGCATCCAGAGGAATGCTCAAGGCAGCATGCACAGCAGAGGCTTGGCACTAAAGGCTGGGCATGTTTGTTGGAGTGGCCGGCAGACACCATGGGGTTTTTACGTGTCTGCACTAACATATAGAACGCCGCATCATTTTGCCAATTGGTGTATTTTTACAGAGCGTTGTTCCTTTCCATAGCGCTGGCCAGTTAAATGCGTAAGACAGTGTTTGCAAGCATGGCGCACCGAGCCTGGCTTTCTGTCAAGTGTCTGATAAATGGGGCCACTGTTGTGATTGAAGGAACGTGGCCTTGGTTTTCAGGCCTTTGTTACAACACTTGCAGGACTCTGTCCCGGGTCCTTGCGTCTTGGTTGTGGAGGTGGGAAAATGACCACCACCACCTCTGACTCTCCCAGCCTTCCTGGGCACTCGCAGAGGCTGCACCCGGTCAGATGGAGAGCAGAGGCTCTCCTTCCAGCCTCGTGGGTCTATGGACAGCTTTCGGGAATAGGCCCGCCTCAGAGGCGTCTGGGGGAAGAGACTGGGTGTGCACACGCATTCATAAACAGGAAGCCAATCAGCCACAACAGAGCAGACGCTCCCAAGACCAAGACCAGCGCCTGAAGGTGGTGGTTACGGTGATTTACAGCCAAACTTGCCTCGGCTCTGCCCTCAGGAGGCTCTACCCATTGTGCAGAAGTGATCAAGCACCATGGACCAAAATCCATCCGCCTGTGGTGTCGGCCAGGACTGCGTGGGGCAGAGGCAGCACCAGAAATGGGGGTGCAGAGGCTGCTTCTGTGGGCATCATGGCCACTGTCCTAGGCAGACAGGGTTGGGATGAGTTGGAGCTAGGGCAGAGGTGCCCACATAACTCTTGCAGGTCACCTGACTCTGTGTGTGTGTGTGCACATGTATGAATTCAACAAGCATTGTTGCACACCTACTGTGTGCCAGGTCCCACGCTGGGAAGTATTGGCCTTTGAGATGCACAGGCTAATCAGAAGACGACATTATCATGATGTATACAGCGCAGGGGCGGCCACATCCCTCATCCCTGTCCCGCTTCCCACTGTGATCTGTCCATCCTCCCACAGCCCAGTAAGGAAGGAAGCATCGTAGCCATTGTATCCACAAGCAGACTGAGGTTAGAGGAGCCCAGCATTCTGCCAAGATTCATGTGGCTGGGGAGCGTGCAGCAGGAGCCCAGGTAGGAATTTCAACCCCAATGACAGCAGTGATTCAATTTCTGGTCCTAGTGACACAGGCCACATATAAGGATTGGATGTTAAACCAAAGCTGGGAGTCGGGGGGGTTTCCTGGGGCCGGTTCATGAGGTGGCTCCTGAGCAGGGTTCCTTGAAGACACAGGGGAGAGAAGGTCAAGGAAACCAGCTCCTGGGACACGACCAGAGTGGACGGCGACGGAGACAGAGTGGACGGCGAAGGGGGTGGGGTGGACACCTGGCCCTGGGCAGCCTCAGGGTCCTGGGTAGCATTTGCAGGAGCTGTGTGCTCCGTTTCAGACCCAGCACTGGCCGCCTGGTGTTTCCTGACCCGCCACAGTGGAAAGCAGCCCAGACGAAGCCTGGCCCTGCCGAGCCGAGCAGCCCTCACACCTGTGCTCAGCCAAGCCGGCCTGCTGCAGGAGTTGGCCGCGGCAGATGCCAGCTCGCCCTCAAGCCGAGAAAAATCCATCACGGCTAATCTCACTCCCCCAGTGATTCCTGAGCTGTGTGCCGTGGAAAGGTTGGCCCCAAATCCTCTCTGGCCTCCCCCCGGCACCTGCCTTCCTCTGAGAACTGGGGTGGGAGAAGGCTGCCAGCAGGCCCCTCCACGGAGGCCATCTCCCCGGCGTCCTGCGCGTTTGCTCTAACTGCTTCTCCTGCAGGTGCATACCCTTTCCTAGGATCAGACACAGAAAGCTGTTTAGGCAGAAAGCCAGGTCTGACAGCCCCTCTGAGCACAAGGACAAATGCACTGAGCTCCCAAGGCGACTCCGCTCATTCTACCTCGAGTCCGTCAGGCCTGGCTCGACTCCCAAAGCAGCGCTCACCAAAACGAGTTTCTTTGTGTAAGCCTGGAAGTGTGACACAGAACTGGGGAACTGGAGACCCGCCCAGGGCACTGTCTCCTTGGATTTCTCCCCATCTTCCAAAGAGAATCTTCCCCAGCCAGTGTTCCCGAGAAGAACTGCTGTCCACCCTCCAGAGGGGCAGAAGCCCGGTGCCTTCTGGCCTTGCCCCACCCAGACCCCGGAGCAGGAAGCGGAGGCCCTTCTCCTCCCAAAGGCACCGGCTCCTTGCAACCCAGGGCAGCAAAACTTCTCCACCTGGTTCCTGCGAACCCATTACCCTGGGGCCAGTGTCTCATTAAGCCAACAGGACTCCAGTGTTTTGATGGAGGAAGAGAATATTCCCGAATGAAAAGGCGAGGCTGTTCCCCACCAGGCTGGGGGCACGGAGAGGGAGCCAGAGAGCGAGGAGAGCTCAATGCCTGTGCCAGGATTCTTAGAACTGAGGGAAGATGCAAGTAACCAAGGAAGCTGTGGCTTCTGCCTCCTCCCAGAGCCTCTTTCCCACCCCCCAGCCCGCATCTCCTTCTCCAAGAGAGCAGGCCCTTCAGGGGCACAAGGAGGCATCGCTTACCTGTGCCTGGGCTTCTTGCTGTCCAGTATGCAGAGGGCAAGGCCAGCACCGGGAGAAGCGGCTTCAGGCGTCCCAGGGACCTGCTGCCTCTTTTCCAGGGAGCAGCTCCCAGCCCGCTCTGTGCAGCTCGTCCCAGCTCAGAGCATAGATGTGCATGTGTCTGTGGAGGTGGGGTGCCCTCAGGAGCAGGGGGTCAAATATTCTTGGCTGCCACCTGCTGCCAGCCCATCCCAGGGGCCAGCTGCCTGAGAGGGGGGCCCTCCGGCTGCGCCGCCGTCATCTGTGGGGAGTGGCAGGCGGCAGCTCTGGCTCTCCAGGCTCCTGCCTGCTCCGGGCTTAGGCGAGTGGTTTATTTATAGAGCCTGGCCTTCCCCAGATGCCAGCATCCCAGCTGAGATTTCCAGCGCTCAAACTCGCCCATACCTGCCCTGAGTTGTTGCTCACTGTGACTGTTCGGGAGGATAAGGACCAAGATACTTAAGCGATATGGTCCTCAGCCTTCTCCCCTGAGAGGAGCAGGGCTGGACCGGGGGTCTCCCAGGCCCTCCTGCTGTGGGCAGTGCCTGACCCAGGAGCCCGGCCTGCGAGTCAGCTTGGGCAAGGCGCTTCCCCGCCCTAGGCTGCCTCAGTTTCCTTTTCTGGAAGATGAAAGAAGACAGAGGGTCTGCCTGTCCAGAGCAGGGCTGGGATCAAAGAATGGACTGGAACGAACAATGGCCACCACCGTCCACTCTGTGCTTCTCCCCAGCTGGGCTGAGTCTTCGCGAGGGCACCACTGTCACCTCCAGGGGCCACTCCATAGGAGATGCACACAGCAGGTGCTTGAGAATGAGTGAATAAGGGAGCAGACACATCCCCACATACAGGCTTGCTTCAGGCTCCTAATAACCTGCGAGGGTCCTGGAATACGCCCACTTGGCAGACGGGAAGCCCGAGGTCTAGAAGGGTGGGTGGCCTTTCCAGGGCCCCCCAACAAAAGGCGGTAACACCACAGTTTCCATGGGTCATTCTGTTTCCAAACCTCATTCCCTTACCACGTCCTCATCAGGCCTCACGGTCAGATGAGTGTCCCCTGCAACGCTGCCATCTTCCGAACCTGATGCATAGTTCAGGGCTCCCCCACCACCGTGGCTACTGCGATCTCTGCTCCTCGCTCCTGCCCTCTGTGAACGCATCTGCCTTCCCGAGGACGTGCTCTGGTGTGCCGGTACGGCTCCTCCCTGGTTCTGGCGGTTTCTCCTGGGCATTTCCCCCGTGCCTGGGGAGCCCGGGTGCATCTCCTGACCCCGCTGGGCCTCACTCTCGCCTCTCAAACCAGTGATTCCTCCTCTGGGGCAAGTGAGGGGCTTGTCTGCCTTCTCACAGGTGAAGGCGCCAGACTCACAGGCGCCCACGTTTGCTCATCCGCTTCGACTCAGCTCACGTGAAAGAAGTTCGCTAATCTTTGTGAGTTTGCTGGGTGTGCTGGAGTTAACAGAGCAGCCCGGTCCTGGTGGGCTCCAGCTTCAGTGCAGGAAGAACATGGGCCGGGCTGTCCTCCCCAGACATGCAAGCCTGGGTGCAGCTGCTGGACTCTGGGCCTCCCCACTACCGCTTTGGCCGGTGCTCCCCCTGCGCCTGGGAAGCCACCTTCCTCCCTTCCTTCCACTTCTTTGCCTGCCGAGATCCCTCAGGGCCTCCCAAGCCCAGACCCACCTCCTCTGAGCTCTGGGCACTGGTGCGCTGGTCTCTCAGGGCCCCAGGAGGGCTGGGGACTGGGAATGCCCCCCTTGCTCCTCTCCTGGAGAATAGGAGGCCGGCTGCCTGGATGCTGGGACAGCAGGGACAAAGCTCAGAGGTCTCTCCCCCCATGGAGTCGGATGTGAACCTCCGCAGGGCCTCCCCAGCCTCCGGGGCTACTTGGAAGCAGGGCAGCCTGGGCTCTCACTCCTCACCCAGAACTGTCCATCCCTGGGCAGCTGACCCGGCCCAGCCAGTGGTCCCTGCTAGGACCTGTCCTGCAGGAATAGCTGGAGAGGCAGGGGGAGCACATCCATCCAGAGCACCCAGCACCGCCCCATGCCCCGTCTAAGCAGGTCACCCCTCTCCGGTTGTCTCTCACAGTCCCTGATTCCGGAGCACTTGTCCAGGAGAACCGACGTGCTCCAGTGTCCCCGACTTGCTTGACCTGGTCTCTCCCGTCGGGGTGGACACTCCTGGAGCAGGCCCACTGCTTACTCCGGACTCCCAGTGCCCTCTGTTCCTGCTTCCTGGTCACAGGAATGAATCTCCTAAAGAAAGGTTAAGCGAATCATGGCCGTCACAGGATGCCATGCCATGCAGCCATCACAAACTAACTTCTGAGTAATGTTTAGTATCAGGGGAAAATGTTACACCTTGACGCCAAATGAATAGAGTAGATTACAATCTGCCCATGTAGGATGGTCTCAGTGTTGTTTAAGATCTATGTTAGACTGGGCATGGTGGTTCACGCCTGTAATCCCAGCACTTTAGGAGGCCAAGGCTGGTGGATCACCTGAGGTCAGGAGTTTGAGACCAGCCTGGCCAACATGATGAAACCCCGTCTCTACTAAAAATACAAAAATTAGCCAGGCGTGATGTTGGACGCCTGTAATCCCAAGTTTTTACAAGTTGTTTTATTTACAATGCCAACTTTTAAAAGGTCGTTCAAGTGATCTGGACAAGATACTAGGCAGAAACCCCTTTACAAAAAGAGGGAAAACCCAGGGTGCCCCTTTCTGTAAAGAAGCCACCGTTCGGTTTTATGTAGAGCAAAGAAAAAAGAAACTTTTGATTACACTAGAGGAAACTCAGACATAGGTTTGGAATCTGTACTCAAAACTACACACACAATGAGGACAGTGTCCTGCTGTCACGACCTGCTGCTGCACCTGCCCGTGGTGTGTCTAACATTTGCAGTGACAGAGCAGTACGGCTAGTATTCGGGACCATCCTCACAGTGTTCGTGTCAGATGCATTTCACTGCTCTCCAGACCGCTGTTCTCTTTGCACACTCAGGCTTCTTCCTCTTTGTTTTTGATACGGAAGGTCTTGTGAATCTCCAGTTTTCCCCTCAATCATGTGGGCGGTGGTCACATGTAACATCAAGCAAACTTTTGAGTCTAAGTAGTTTACAGCCAGAATAAGTTCAAAAAGCATTTCTCTGGTCAACTTTCAGGGAGATTCTGGGTCCCAACAGAAATGATCTGTTCACTTTTCTTGGTTCTTATCACCCTCAGGAGGAGGAGGAAGGTATTCCTTGGGGTGGGTTCACCCCTGAGTGACCTTTTAAAATATTGCTGCATTAACATTTAGGAGAGGAACTGAGCCATCGTCTCCCTCATTTCTTCCCAAATCTTCCAAAGTAGTTTTTTTTTTTTTTATTTGTTTGTTTGTTTGTTTATTGAGACGGAGTCTCGCACTATCGCCCAGGCTGGAGTGCAATGGCACCATCTTGGCTCACTGCAAGCTCCGCCTCCTGGGTTCACGCCATTCTCCTGCCTCAGCCTTCTGAGTAGCTGGGACTACAGGTGCCCGCCACCACACCCGGCTAATTTTTTGTATTTTTAGTAGAGACGGAGTTTCACTGTGTTAGCCAGGATGGTCTCAATCTCCTGACCTCATGATCCACCCGCCTCAGCCTCCCAAAGTGCTGGGATTTTTTTTGAGATTCCCTCTTAAAAAAAAAAAAAAAAAAAAAAAAACCGTCCATCATGAATATTCTTATTGTGTTTTCCTGTATGTGATGTGACTTATTTTCCGGCTGCTTCTAAAATTTCGTCTTTTTATTTGGTTTTTAGAAGCTTGAATATGATGTGACAAAGCGTGTTTTTTCCTTCTACACATTCTACTTGATTTTACAGTTTCATGAGTGTTTTCCAGTTTACAGGCGTGAGCTACCATATCCGGCCTTTTTTTTTTTTTTTTTTTGAGATGGAGTCTCATTCTGTCACCCAGGCTGGAGTGCAGTGGTATTATCTTGGCTCGCTGCAAGCTCCACCTCCTGAGTTCAAGTGATACTCCTGCCTCAGCCTCCCGAGTAGCCGGAATTACAGGCACCTGCCCCCACACCCGGCTAATTTTTGTATTTTTAATAAAGACAGGGTTTCACCATGTTGGCCAGGCTGGTCTTGAACTCCTGACCTCAGGCGATCTGCCCACCTCGGCCCCAAAGTGCTGGGATTGCAAGCGTGAGGCACCGCCCCTGGCCTACAACGTGGTCTTGATAGTCACAGATTACTTGACAATTTCCACATCAACTTCAAGTATCGCTCCATCAGAACTCTGCGACTTTCCTGAAGGCACGATGTTTGGTCTTAAGGAGTTGGTGGAGGATGGCAGAGTAGGGCAACGTTAACACAAGAACAAGGCCATTCTCAATGTGTACTTACGTCTTTCCTCTTCTACTTATTTTGGATTTTGTTTGCACTTCTTTTTCCTAGCTTCTTATGGTGGAAATTTTGATGACCAATTTTAAACCTGTCTTCTTTTTAAATATAGGCATGTACGAAAGAAATTTTATTCTAAGTACTGCAGCATCCCCCACATTTTGATAGGTGGTAGTTTTTTTATTCAGTTAGAAATATATTTTAGTTTCCTTTGTCATTTCTTCTTTGACTCTTAGGTTATTCAGAAGTTTGGAAATTATCAATTTCCAAACACATGGCAACTTTCTAGATATCATTTTTGTTATTGATTTCTAACTTAATTCTGTTATGGTCAGAAAGCATACTCATTATTATTTCAATCCTTCGGAATTTATTGAGATTTGTTTTATGGCTCGGAATATGGCCCATCATGGTGAATGTTCCAAGTGCACTTAAAAAATGTGTTCTTTGCAATTGTTGAATGGGGTGTTATATAAATACCAATTAAATCAAGTTGTTTGAATGTGCTGTTCCAATATCTATAACCTTATGAATATTCTGTTTATTGTACTATCAATTGCTGACAGGAGTATTAAAATTTCTAACTATGATTGTGGATGTATCTGTTTCTCCCCTCTTATCACTTTTTGCTTAGTATATTTTGATGCTCTGTTAAATAATGCATACATATTTAGGTATATTTACTTGTTAAATGAACTCTTTTATCGTTATGAAGTGTCCTCTTTTTTTTGAGACGGAGTCTCACTCTGTCGCCCAGGCTGGAGTGCAGAGGCGCGATCTAGGCTCACTGCAGGCTCCGCCTCCCGGGTTCACGCCATTATGAAGTGTCCTTCTTTATCTCTGGTAATACTTTTTGCTTTCAAGTCTACTGTGTTCTTAATATAGCCACACCAGATTTTTTAAAAATATTGTGTGCATATTTTATCTTTTCCTGGCCTTTACTTTCAACCTTTTTATTTAAAATGAATCTCTTGTAAAGCGGTATATAATTGGGTCATGCTTTTTTTTAATCCACTTCAACAATCTCTGCTGTTTAATTGAGGCATTTGGTCCATGTATATTTCATGTAATAGTAATATGATTGGGTTTAAGTCTACCACCTTGTTATTTGTTCCTCTGCTTTCTGTTCCCCGGTTGCTCCTTTTTGCTTACTTTTAGGTTGATTAGATATTTTTTAGTGCTCCATTTTATTTCTGCTATTGGCTTCTTAGCAATTCCTGTACTGATTTTATTTTTAAGTGGTTTTTCTGGAGGTAACAATATGCATCCTTAACTTATCAAAGTTTATTTAGAGTCCCTCTTCATGCTTCACACCTGAATTCCACGATTTCTGCTTTTTCTTTTTACTTTACACTTCTCACTTCGCAAATACAAGGGTGTAATTTCACTTACCTGACCCTGAGCAATTGTTTTCATATCATTTATTTTTACATATGTTATAAGCCCTAACTTACACTTAATTTTGATCATATAGTGATATGGTTTGGCTGTGTCCCCACCCAAATCTCATCTTGAATTGTAGCTCCCATAATTCCCATGTGTTTGGGAGGGACCCTGGTGGGAGATCATTGAATCACGGAGGCAGTTTCCCCCATACTGTTCTCAGGGTAGTGAATAAGTCTCATGAGATCTGATAGTCTCATAAGGGGAAATCCTTTCACTTGGTTCTCATTCTCTCTTGCCTGCCGCCATGTAAGACATGCCTTTCCTCTCCCACCATGACTGTGAGGCCTCCCCAGCCATGTGGAACTGTGAGTCCATTAATCCTCTTTTCCTTTACAAATTACCCACTCTTGGGTATGTCTTTATCAGCAGCATAAAGATGGACTAATACATATAGTAAGATGTCTTTTAAGTAAAGATAAGAAAGAAGAGAGAGCCCCTTATATTTGCCCATTTATTTGCCATTTCTGGTACTCTTCATTCATTCCTCTGTCTCTAAGTTTTGACCCAAAAGACATCCTGCAGCATTTTTTTTAACTGTAGTTTTGCTGTAATTCTCTTCACTTCCATTTATTTAAAGATTTCTTTATTTAACTCTCATTTTTGAAGAATGTTTTACTGATTATAGAAATCTAGATTGACAGTTTTTTTTATTTCAGAACTTTAAAAATATCATCCCTTTCTTTTTGTTTTTCATTGTTTCTGCTTAAGAAGCCCATCATGGCCGGGCGCAGTGCTCACACCTGTAATCCCAGCACTTTGGGAGGCCGAGGTGGATGGATCACCTGAGGTCAAAAGTTTGAGACCAGTCTGGCCAACATGGGGAGACCCCGTCTCTACTAAAAATACAAAAATTAGCTGGGCATGGTGGCGGGAGCCTGTAATCCCAGCTTCTCCGGAGGCTGAAAGGAGAATCATTTGAACCCGGGAGGCAGAGGTTGCAGTGAGCTGAAATTGCACCATTGCACTCCAGCCTGGGCAATAGAGCGAGACTCCCTCTCAAAAGCAAACAAACAAACAAAAAAGTCCATCATGAATATTCTTATCGTGTTTTCCTGTATGTGATGTGACTTATTTTCTGGCTGCTTTTAAAATTTTATCTTTTTATTTGGTTTTTAGAAGCTTGAATACGATGTGACAAAGCGTGGTTTTTCCTTCTATGCATTCTACTTGATTTTACAGTTTCATGAGTGTTTTTCATCAGTGTTGACAAACTTTCACCCATTACTTCTTCAAAGATTTCTCTTCCCTTATCTAAGTCTTCATGACTCTCATGACTAATTTTTCAGACTGTTTGGTATTGTCCCTGAAGTCTCTGTTAATTTTTTGAAATAAATTTTAGACAGTTTTAGATTTACAGAATTATTCCAAAGAGAGTACAGAGAGTTCCCATCGTGCTCATATCCACTTTCCCCTGTTATTAATATCTTAGTATGGGACATTTGTCATAATTAATGAACACTGATGCATTATTATTAACTAAAGTTCATACTTCATTCAGATATCCTGAAGTCATTTTTCTCTTCCAGGATGGCATCCAAGACACCATGTTATAATTAGCAGCCATATCTCCTTAGGCTCCTCTTGGTCATGACAGTTTCTCAGAGTTACTTTGTATTTGATGAATTGCCGGGTTTTGTGTGTTTTTTGTTTTTTGTTTTTTTTGTTTTTGTTTGTTTGTTTGTTTGTTTTGAGACAGAGTCTCACTCTGTCACCCAGGCTGGAGTGCACTGGTGCAATCTCAGCTCACTGCAACCTCCGCCTCCCAGGTTCAAGTGATTCTCGTGCCTCAGCCTCCCGAGTCACTGGGACTACAGGCATGCACCACCATGCCCAGCTAATTTTTTTGTATTTTTAGTAAAGACAGAGTTTCGCCATGTTGGACAGGCTGGTCTCAAACTCCTGACCTCACGATCCGCCCGCCTCGGCCTCCCAAAGTGCTAGACTTATAGGCATGAGCCACCGTGCCCGGCCACTTGCCGATTTTAAGGGTCGCTGCTCAGGTGTTTTGTATTCTTTAATTGGGATTTTCAAAAGGGTTTTTCTCAGGATTAGGGTGGGGTTTAGGGTTTTAAGGAAGAAGGCCACAAAGGTGAAATGCTGTTCTCATTATATCATATCAAGGGGACATCCTTCCGACATGGCATATCACTGTTGAGGCTGAGACGATCCCCGACCAAGGTGGTGATGGTCAGGTTTCTCCCTGTAAACTTACTCTTTCCCCTCGTTTCCATACTATACTCTGGAAGAAAGCTGCTATGTACCTCCGCACTTCAAGAGTAGGGAGTTACGTCCCACTTCCTTAAGTATGGAGTATCTACATAAAGTATTTGAAAATCTTCTGCATGGGAGACTTAAGTTTTCTCTCCATTTCTTTACTTATTCAATCATTTATTGATATTAAGTAGTATTACTTTTGCACCAACCAAATGTAAGTATTAGTATTTGTATCAGTATGGACTCAGGTATATTTATTTTATACTTGCTTATAAT